AATTCTGCGAAATTTGCAGCTGACTTATTCCACCATCTGCTTGACCAACTATCCTTCCTCTAACAAAATCTGACAATTCCAGAGAACCTTGAGCTCTAGGCGTGTTGTAGCACAAGATAATTAGTGTGCCGACCATTTTCATTTATATAGTGCTCTGTGAACACAAATTAGTTAGTATAAATCAGTTAAATGACGAAAAATTAGGTGTCTATTTACTTGTGACCACTCAGTGTATATTACGTTTTTACTTTATTGCAATTTACCCCAAGTTCCATTGGATATATGTCGTAGACATATGTTAAAATTTAATAAAATCAGCCTACTATTAGATTAACTCTAAGTCTAATCGTCTATACACGTTCGAACCATCTTAGAAAGACGTAATAAAGAATAATTATCTGTAAGCTAACATTTCAATAACGAGGCTCTGTAATCAAAGCTTTTTAAACTAACAGTGGCTTTCAAGAACAAAGCTTCATAACTTAATTCGGTTTCTAAAGCGACGTTCACTATAGCCTAACATTCAATTTCAAATACGATAGCGCTCTAAACTAATCTTCGGTTTCAGAAATGAAGTTCTCTAAATTAAGTTCCGGTTTTAAAAACGAAACTCTCTAACTTAACATGGTACAGGGTGTTTGAAAACCATATTGCACTACATATATAAATCGCTTTTTTCCGGAAATTTGTATATGCTTATACTTCTTTCTTATACGACATTGATAATTTGAATAAATTACGTGTCAGTGTGTAGGATATTGCAAGGAACGGTGAACACTTTCCGGAACAAATGACACTTGCAGTAACTTTGTTTAAGAATATCTTGATAAACTGATTGACAATGACAGCAAGTATATTGAACATTTTCTGTGACTGTTTTTGAAACAACCTGTCCCAATCTTTTCTTTACAACCACTCCTAATTACGTAGCAATGTAAATTTCAATTTAATATCAGCTATTAACCCTTTCACTGCTAGGGGTGCACATATGTCCCCCTTCTGGATTACTGCAATACGAACTTGAAATTTTGTACTGCTATGAAAAATGGATATTTCATTTCAAACTTTCAAAAGTTTATCAGTTTCAGGATTCAGATGAATTTTTGAAACATGTGGAGTTTTATTTTTTAATTTGTTTCTAAAAATATAACTGGGACTGGGAGAATTCTTTATTTCTAAAAGTGGCAATGAAAAGGTTAATTATGTTTTTTCACACACAAGTGTGTATGAATATGCTGTTTTGTAAGTGTTGTGATTCATTTTCAGTTTTTTTTTCAAGATAAGTATTTTCTTTGCTTATCTATATTTTGCGTAATTTCAGTGTTTGTATCTTAATGTCTTGTTATGTAGTGTCTTAATATGTATATCCAGCTCCTGTGGACGTTTTGTTGACGTTAGTTTAGATTAGAGTAATAATATTTTCACCAAAGTTTTGTTAGAAAAACTAAACTAAACATTACTCACTTGTATACTTAATTTGTTTTTTGATGAATCATTAGTTTAGTCACTAATAGTTGAAGATAAATAACTGAATAAATAGCTTTTTATCACCATATTTGTAAGTTAACTCTTAACAGTTTTAACTTTGCACGTGTTTTTTAACTACATTAGAGCTAGACATGTATAATGAATAAATAAATACTTAGAAAGGAAGGAGTCAAAAATGAAATAAGGGGGAGACTTATTCAAGTATTTTAGCATAATTCAATGGCTAGAGGGTCCCTAAAGATTATTGAACATGATTAATATTTAGATTATCAAAATGATAACTTTTCACAGAAATTAATCAGACGGGTTGTGTTTGAGAGCTTAATGTGCGTAATGTAAAAACAAAATTATGGCAGAAAGCTAAGCGTACAGTGTAGATGACCTATATCGAGCGAATAGGCAAATCAGTTTTTTTCTCTGGCTGTACGTTAAGTAGAAAAAATAACTGACACATTTTGTCGTGTCTACACTTTATAGATTTTGACCCGTGTCGCCCTGGTCCACTTCGCCAGTCGTCTATCACTGATCCAGGTTAGTTGAATAATGACATTTATTTTTCTTGAGATTGTATGAAATATGCAATTGAAATCATAGACGTTGGATCCGTCTTATAAAGTTTGTTTACAGTTATATTTAATTATATAAAAAGACAAATTGTGAGGTTAAGGTAAAGGGAAAAGCAATGGCTGTCTGAAAATAGTTTAATCCCACAAAACTGAAAGTTTAATAAACTGAGCGGAAAGAAAACCTCCCACTTCCATAGAACACCAATATGATGTTGAAATGAATGTTTAGCTAGAGCCATGTCTTCAAATATTTTTTTACAACTGAAGTGTCTTTCAAAAGTCTTTAGAATGTGTTTTGGTAATCATACGATATATTCTGTCTAGTAAATTATAGAATTGCAGGTGAGCTACTTAAACCTTCTGTTGTATTAAAAAACTGAAATAGAAAAAGGCTTGACAATCACTTTAAAAACGTTCTGTTAGTTTTGTATTTTACTTAGGTGATACATACATCAGGTTAGGGGACTTGCAATGTTTTGTAATATCATTTAGGAAGGTATCTCAAAAGAAATGAGCAGTTTGACAGAAAAAAGTCTTAGCTTTATTCTGTTGTATCTAGTTTTGGAATAGAGTAATAAATAAATGGTGAAATCTCAAAGAATTGAGCAGTTTGACAGAAAAAGTCTTAGCTTTCTTCTGTCATATCTAGTTTTGGAATAGAGTAATAAATAAATGGTGAAATATTTCAGTTTAAATTAAATGTTTTGTGAAAAAAGTAGCAATTGAAATCTTAATTATGAACAAGTTTGTGGCTATAATCTGACCTAAAGAAAATATTAGTTCTGAAAAATAAATTGTTTTGATATAAGTTTAAAAAATATTGAACAATTGATTCATATTACAAAACATAAATAGTCCCATATTGATTGTTATACGGTGTTGAGTCACATTTTCGTTGGTTTTAATAATTTTCTTTGAACATAACAGGTCGCACTACAACTTCTAGTAAAACAAACCAATATATACATATAAGCATTTAGAATCTATAGAAGTTATATTATTGATCAGCACCTACATTTAAAGTTCGGTTTAAGGTTTGATGAGCATCCCGTGGCCAATGAATATGATACAAATTACATAGAACACGAATATATTTTTCCCGAAAGCTTTGTTTTATTTGTTTTTGAAAAAAAAAGATGATACAATATGAAAAAGAAAAGTCGTTGAACGATTTGAAATCGATATGTCTTATTTTAAACAAATTCGTTGATTTCTGAGAACCAGTATTTCAAAAGAGCTTAGGCAAATGCAGTCAGAAGTGATGTCCAGTTGAAAATACTTATTGATCAAAATGTTAAAAGACATGGTTTGGGTCATGAGGGGGGTAATAAGGTTTTTGCTGTGTCGCTTAAACCTAAGACGTCTACAGTTTATAATTTATCAAACAATAAACTAATATGATCTTGCACCAGTGTCACACCTAAACTCACTGAAAAGCTAGATTATGTGTGAAAACTAAGTCTTGTCATGACGTTAAAACTTTTCTTCTGTGTTACGTCTTTTTTTTATCAATATCTTTGTTTCATTTAACGATATTTAGAAACGAGAAAGATGTCATGTTTAAAGATGAAGTGTGTTTTATCGCAAAGCCACACATTTGCCTATATGTGCTCTGTCCCCCCGCGGGAAATCGAACCTCGGATTATAGCGTTGTAACTCCATAAACTTTCCGCTTACCCTCTGGGAGAGAGAGGGTGTGTGGTAAGCTTAGATATAGTTAGAGAAAAGTGCAGTCAAACTAATGCGTATTTGTTTTGTTTTTAATTATATAAGCGCTGGATCATCTAAATTAATCCGAGCGTGGTGAAGTGTCTGTCGTGCTGGACCGTGGACTCACGAATTCGGCATTTAAGTGCCGTTCCGCTGAAAAAAAAAAAATGTAAATTGTGCTCTTTACTTCGGTTCCGAGTCATGGGTGCGTTGAGTCAGATAATAGTGAGTGTTGTTGACTAGCTGCCTTCCTTCTAGTCTATTAAATCAAAATCAACGACGGCTAACGCAGATATCCCCTGATGAGCTTTTCGCGAATATCTGAAAACAAAACAAATCATCTGACTTGCAGTTTTAAAAAGACAATCTCATAGAATATATCAAATCTGTAAGAAATACCCATAAGCTGTAACAATTCCTATAAAGTAGGTACAATAGGTAAATTCTGTAGTTAAGGTGTACCTTTCTCTCTCTCTATGAAGGGCTTTCTCCTGTACCCATTGCCAACATTCTCAATGCAGTAAATGCTACAAATGTTGTAGGAGAAGCAACTATTTCGCATGAATCGAATGATCTCGCCCAGTCTCGCCTCCTTGATTTCAGGACAAACATGTAAAAAAGAGAAGCCTGGTTGATTATTTACATTTAAAGTAGATATGACAGGTGAAGCGCGAGGAAACCATGGAAAAGTGTATCATACAGTAGGGTATCCACTACATGTTTCGTGCTAAAAGCTTTTATTATTTTTTTAAGTACAGTATAAGGTTTCGGAGATTTTCAAAGATTAGGAAGCCAAGGATTTCCACCTAGTTATGTATTGCAGTTGTAGTATTTATAAAACGTTTCTCAATATCCTAAAGTTTTAAACTTGCACAGTCGTAATTCTTCACATGTAAACATGCTTACAATCCTTTAAATAGAATCAGCAAGTAAGTCTATAAACATGATTACATACTCGAGTAATTACATCGGGAGCGTGATGTTATTTTGCAGCAAGGAAATAGCTCCATTTGATCTATAACTTTGTTAGTACAAATTGACAGTGCTTCCTAGTGGTTTAATGGTAATAATGAGGGACTATAACATTAAAAATCACAGTTGGTCCAGCGCAGATAGTCGATAGTTTATCTTTGCGTTTAAACAAACAAATTAGTAAAAATACAAAGAAAGGAATGGACTGTACGATTTTCAGGTTACGATGGGTCGCTCATTATCTGTTGTTGTTTTTTTTCTTTCAAAAATGCATAACATTTGCATAATAAATTTAAGCTTGCAGTTAATTAAACAATACTTAAGTACGTTTTATTTTAACCCTAAAATTACCGATAGCGGTCCTTCCCATCTCCTTTTTAAATCACATCTCTTGTCGGTACATAAATTTGTCTTTTAAAGGGTCCCTAGTAATTTGTATGTAACACCAATAATTTTAAGAAAAATACTATCAGTATTGCAATTAATATTACTGAATACTGCTGGGTTCTCTTATGTGCTTTACGTAACAAATGAGCGACTTCATCCAGTGTTTTTGTTCAGTTCCCCCTCACTAAGTGTCCTAACAGGTAAAAACATAAAATTACTCAGCATGATGTATACTGCAGTAATTTATTGCATTCCACACTAGACGTGCCAGCCTTTTATACATGTGAAAAATAACTCTAATTCCACACTAGACGTGCCAGCCTTTTATACATGTGATAAATAAATAATTCCACACTAGACGTGCCAGCCTTTTATACATGTGAAAAATAACTCTAATTCCACACTAGACGTGCCAGCCTTTTATACATGTGATAAATAAATAATTCCACACTAGACGTGCCAGCCTTTTATACATGTGATAAATAAATAATTCCACACTAGACGTGCCAGCCTTTTATACATGTGAAAAATAACTCTAATTCCACACTAGACGTGCCAGCCTTTTATACATGTGATAAATAACTCTAATAATTAGAGTTATTTATTACATGTATAAAAGGCTGGCACGTATAGTGTGGAATTAGAGTTATTTATCACATGTATAAAAAGGCTGGCACGTCTAGTGTGGAATTAGAGTTATTTATCACATGTATAAAAGGCTGGCACGTCTAGTGTGGAATTAGAGTTATTTTTCACGTGTATAAAAGGCTGGCACGTCTAGTGTGGAATTGGAGTTATTTTTCACATGTATAAAAAGGCTGGCACGTCTAGTGTGGAATTAGAGTTATTTTTCACGTGTATAAAAGGCTGGCACGTTTAGTGTGGAATTCTCCCGAATCTATTTTCTAATAATTTTGCAGAGAGTAAAATGAGTCCAGGGCTAAACGTGTGGTGGCAAAACTGTTATTAACAACATTTCTGAAGATAAGATGATTATGAGCTTAATAGTGATGAATATACGACAAAAAGATATAAAAGCGAGGAAGATCATTTATCTGTTGATGAAAATAGTTGTGGTATGAATATCAGGTTGCATGATAATGAAAGTTATGATGACATTGATAACGAACTGGAAGTGTAAGTTTCTAAAAATAACGCAATGGACTGGTTGGTTCACAACATTAACACAGGTGATCATCTGCAAATGTTTTCAAAGAAACGCCAGCTTCAACTAAACATGCAAGGGGAAACTTACACAACATTTTCTATATTCAATCTATTCATAAACAAGAGTATTATGGGAGAAATACTGAAATGAACAACAAGGAAGGTGAAGTTATATGAAGAGGGAAATGGAAGCATTTGGTGTCTAACGAATTGCAGTGGTACTTCGATGTGACAATGCTAGCTTGTGGTTATAAATCAAAGAGAGAAACAATCGAACATCTTTGGAATGGAAACAATGGTAGACCAAGTTTTCCACAACCTGTGGCACGTAATAGTTTTAAACAGATAATTCTGAAGAGCGACAAAAAACAACAACAAAGAACAAACTTTATCCTATTAAAAACATATTCAATGAATGGGCGCAGATACTTCAGTACTGTTAGATAACGTCAGAGAGAACAAAGAAGAAGAACAGTGAACTATTCGAAAGCGCTCGAGTTTTGGGGTTTCGTTTGAAAACCATTACAACTTTTGTGTTTGATCCTGTGCGCTAGCTTCTTAATCAGAATCAGATAAAGTGCTCATTAAGATAAACTATTCACAGATGCCTGTTCAAATAATAAATGTATTCAAAGAAAACGTGGTAAATATTACATCAAGTTTGGGCTTGTTGGGCTAGTGACGCATCCAAGTTTATAATACGTAAGTTTATACAGGAAGAATAATGGC